TGAAGCGTCTTTGTCATCAGCATATTTAAAACAGAATGACTCTAACTAAAGTTCTCCACAAAGCCAATTGCTTCTCTGAGACCCCCCCCCCACCTTCCAGGCCCTCATTAGGTTCCATGTGTGCTCCTTGGCACTGCTCTCCAGTTCACCCTTTCCTTTAATCTCAGAGCCAACAGTTCAATCCAGGCTTTGAATATCACTCATGTATATAGATTTCTCTAATTCCAATTTCTCCCAGTTCCATTCTAACACATGGTTAACAGATTCTTCTTCCTAAAATAAAAAATTTAAATTATGGAATTCTTTTTTTTTTTAATCAAATACTTTCTATAGCCTATTGAAGTTAACAACCCAAGACCTAGCCCTACAGGCTGTTCTGCAATCTGGCCCCCTGGTACCTCATTGACTTTGTATCCCCTTTTCATTGATTTTTATGAAATTCATTGACTGTCAATTCTGTGTTGACACTGCACACTAGTTTGCCGACAATATGAGGCAAAAAAAAAAAAAAAAAAAAAACTCCAAAATCTTATTTACTGAATGTCTGATATTTCCAGGGACTGCTCTCAGGTCATTTCAGAAGTTGTTTCTTAAGTCCCCTGAAGAACCTCACAAATGCCAGAATTCTCAGAATTACTGTTTCCCCTTTGTAGATGAGAAAGGTGGCCTGGGAGGCACAGGATCTGAATCCCTGTGGGACACTGCCTTCTGCTGATAGATGCTGTATGTTCCTGTATCTCATGGATTTTTTGCCACCTTATCCATGCTGGTGTATTTCTGGTTCTTGTAATACAGCCCCACTTTTATCTCAGTGCATGATTCTTTCTTGTTTGTTGCTATCCAGAGCACATACTAATGTAAGGTGAAGTCATCTCTGGCACTCCCAATCACTGTGGTCATCCCTCCTCCTAGCTCACAGCACTTATCACATACATCCTGCATTTCACAATCACACACAATTTTCTGGTACATTTTGCTTCATCCTCCAACTCAGTAGAATGTCTTGAATGCATTGTTTCCCCCAAACAAATTGTAAGAACATGGAGAACAAAACCATACTGGTATATTTTTGCAGTATAAAGTATGTATTCACAAGTACTTTGTGCCTTTTGGCACAACCTCTAAAGAAAAATCTCTTCTATAATGGTTGATTATATATAAGAAAAAAAAAGTCTCACTAATGGTGCTTTTCTTTCCTTTTTTTTTTCCGAGACAGGGTTTCTCTATGTAGCTTTGAAGCCTATCCTGGCACTTGCTCTGGAGACCAGGCTGCCCTTGAATTCACAGAGATCCGAATGCCTCTGCCTCCTGAGTACTGGGATTAAAGGCATGTGCCACCAATGCCCGGCTGTGCTTTTCTTATCTCACCCTTTTTGTTTAACAAACTTGTCTTCCTCTCCAACCCAGACTTGATAAACTTTTGCTCAGCCCCAAAAAGCTAACTTATTTGTCACATGTCCTAAAAGGGTCATGCAATACTAAGCTACAGTCAAGTTTAGGCATCTGACTTCTATGCTCCCATAGAGTTTGATGAATCCTTCTGTATCACAATACATTAAAGTTTGGATTCCTCTGTCTGTTTTATATCTTTAGATTACATTATCCTTATGTACACAGACATTATGTTCTTAGTGCTTAGCACAATGCTGGCATATGGAAAGTGACTCGTGAATATTGACAAGAGAATGAATGGATGGATGGATGAATGAATAAATTCTAGCAGAAAAGCAATCTTGGTATGGTTCTAACAACCTGCATTAAGGGAAGTAAGGTACAGAAAGTATCCATGGAAACTGTGAAACGCAGAGAGCCTATCTCTTACTTTCCCAAGTCTGTTTTATGAGCAGGAATTAGCAAATATCATAGTGTTTCCTTGCCAGCTCAAGTTAATTTTTCAGTGAGGTGCTGTGGATAGCACTCAAGTCCTCATGTCAAGGTTGTGCTCTGAGCCTCTAATCTTAAATTCGACAGTATGATATAAGTTTCCACCTAGAAAGTGATCCTTTCCACCAAAGAGCATCTGCACACATTGATTTAGCTCTCATCACTGTGGTTGTGCTTGTTGTCACCTGAGCCCCATACCAAGGCATGGCTTCTTCTTTGGCTCCATCCAGGGCAGTGTACCTCCTTCAAGCTCTGCTGTTAGGCTAGCTAGAAGAGGTGGCAAGCACTTCTCCATTGCCTTCATGAGTTGGATACTTTCCAGTTGTAAATGATAGGGGTGGGGGAGGAGACAATTCTCGATGATTCTTCCAAGCATGAGGTGTGATTGTCTTATTTAATATACTTACTGTGCTGACAGCTCTGGCCCACTCCACCTTCCATGCCACTTTGGGACTGTCCATTGTTCTCCAGTGTATGATTAGCAGATTAGCTATCATGTACGAAGCCAGGAAAATGAACTCCCAGTCAGCCTTGCAAAGCAAGAATAATTCATTACCCAGCCTGATTTCCACTTAAAATGTACTTTACATACACTTCCAACTACAACCCCTAAATCATCCTGTGTCCACAAAGTCCATCATTTTTTATTTTATTGCATGGCATTGGCATGACATAATCCCTTGCAGAGAATCTTGGAGTGCTTTACAGATCAATAAATTACTTACCTGCACCATTTAAGTAATGTCTGAAGGCCAGCATAGACACTCTGCAGGCAGCCTGTGTTCCAAGAAGCAAGCAAGGCTATGTGAGTGCACAATCTGAGCAGGCACATGTCTTGGGCTGAGTTCACCAGAAGGAAATGCTGCAGTTAATGTTCTGTGGGTAAAATACATCAGAGATTTTACATCTGCAAGAGTTCTACAGAACTGTAGAACTAAGAGAATTTACAAATTTATATGTCAAGGAGTCATCAAATCAGATGCTTAGTCACTACCATATCAATTGCCTTTCTATCCTGACATGCACACTCTGACTTTTAATTATCAACTGCAAATTACAGTGTTAGACTTTAAATATTGGAGATTGCGGAGCAGTGAGTCTCTCATCCCACTGCTTTACTTCTGTCTTATTATTTCAAATTTCTTTTTTCTTTTTAATTCTAAATAAAAACCACACTTTGTGCTGAACAATGGAATATAAAAGATCAGATGTATGATTTTAGACATCTACTATTTGGGAGGAAAGGTTTACACAATGTACAAAACTTTACAGCAGATAGTAAACGCTTAAATATTAGGAGGTCAGTACTTCTTAATTTAATGGAAGGAGTTAGACAGCAGCAGCTTCTCTGCTTCATAAGAGACTTGAGCTACTCCAGGTGGGGGAGGGTGGGGACAGACATTGGGAAGGTGTTAAAACATCATCACAAGTGTCAGGAATTAATGTGCAGGATGGCAGGTGTGTGCACAACACACACACACACACACACACACACACACACACACACGCAAATAAAAAAAAAAAACTCTTTCCCTGAAAGTCAATGGAGATTTAAGTCTAAAAATGATCAAATTTGTTTACTGTATGAAACACACTGTATGCATGAAAACATAAAATTAAATGATGAAAAAGGCTCCTTTTAAAGACCTTATATTGAAATAGAAGGGGTAGAAATTCATCCACTCAGGTTACTATTAGAGAGAAGCTGCTGAGCACACACGGCAGCCACAAGTACGATAACAGGACAAAACACAGCACATGCTTGGGAGCCATGAGTGTACCACATGGGTGGAGTGCAGGTCATGAATTGGAGAAGATGATGGAGAAGGGAGACCAAGGAAGAAGGCTGGAAGGAGATACTTCCATCATATCCCTTTCCCAGAGGAAATGGTCCAGCATGATTATGGATGCTATAAATACCTGTTGGACTTCTACTGTAGATACCTATATGGGGAAGGTATGGTTTGGGTTCAGATTGACAGAAGAATGAATGGATGAGTGAATGAGTGAGTCCAAGTGAAGAGGTATAATGTAGTGGGATAAATCTATGTATGATTAGACTTTGAAAGCTCAATAAATGACAATGTCACTTCAATTTCTTGAAGTACAGACTATTTGACAGATTAGACAAATGAGGGGCCATGTGGAGAATCCAATATCATGTTGTCTATGGTAAAGGTGACAGTGCAGAAGTGGGTTCAGATGAATAGCAAGAATGAGCCTTGCCATAGGTTCCAGTGTGAGATAGAGTACATAAGCCAGTGCTTGACCAGGCTGTAGCTCTGTAAAGTACAGAGGGAAGAGCACAGTACCATAAGCCTCCAAAGGGAAGCCAGGCTCCAAAAGAGAAGCCAAGGAAGCAAATGCCTCCCCAACTTCAGGCATTTGGGGGACAGCCCCCCTTCGCAGGAGAGGAGTCAAGTGAGCATAGCTCACTGATAAGAGTGTCAAAACTTCTGTGTCTACTATGTTCAGGAAACCTAGGTGAAGAAGCAGAACTGAATTTGAGTTGTTAAGGGGAATGTGTATATTGTAAAAAAAAAAATGACAAGGAAGAATATAGATCCTCCATGTGGCCAGAAATGTCATAGTGTGTTGGGGACAAAGCAAGGGTGAGTGGATGTTGGGGCCTCTAGAGATGGCTGGAGGAAGTTAGTTGATGCCCAATTCTGAATGTCCCTCTGTGCTAGTCTAGAAAACCTGATTATGTCAGGTAGGCAAAAGGGAGAATCCAAACTGTTTAGGCAGATATGTGCTATGTTAAGAACTGCATTACATAAAGCTGCCTCTGAAGTCAATGAGAATGACTCATGGACCTGTGTTGGAGGTATGTGTGGTGGGGGTGGTGGTGTAAGGGAAGATAAAAGGTATAGTTGGGAGTTGCTGCAGCATTGCAGTGGAGCTGGTTTCACTCTGGACTTTGTATTTAATTTGGAAGCTGAATTTAAGGTAAGAATTTTTTTCCTTCTTAAGGTAATTCTTCTAATTTCTCATGTTTTCCAAGTGTAGTCCATATGTTCCAATCTTTCAAAGCTTCTGTCACCTTCTACTTTAAGACAATGAAAAGAGTTGTCAGCAGGATTTTTATGTTCCTTCTACCTGTTTTGTCTCCACAGTATCTCCCAAAATTGTAGAGATTTCTTCAGATATCTCCATTAATGAAGGGAACAACATCAGCCTCACTTGCATAGCCACAGGTAGACCGGAGCCTACAGTAACCTGGAGACATATTTCTCCCAAAGGTAAGAGCATCAGCTCATGAGAAATAATAAGAATCTTGTTTGATAAGGGTGGGAGGTTCTGGTACTGGCTGCTGAGTCCAAAGGGCTCTAAGCTTCTGGTAGTATGAAATCACTCATGACTCTGTAGATATGATTGTTCTATGCACAGTGGCCTTAGCTTTGACAGTCTCAGAAGGTGTACCTGAATATATGTTTGTAATCTTCTGGAGATTAATTCTGCTTGAGTCTGAGTGAAATAGTGGTGAAGATGTTCTGTGTGAACTTGTCCCACTGAGAGTGATGATGGAAGTGCTGTGTTGGTGACATTGTCCAGCTGGTATTTAAAGAGATAGGAAATACAAATACATAATGACAGATGAGAGCTCTAAATGCCATATTCCAAAACAAGAAATTTCCCTGGTCTGTGCTTTGCCAAAAATCTGGTCATTAGCTGTTTTTGTGGTTTTGCTGTTGTTTTTCTCTGATATTTCCTAAATAACAAATATCACATAATATGTGGCTGCATTGCAAAATTTATGTTGCCAAAATGTTCAGATGTTTTGAAGAACAAACCGAGTGATTTGTGCTTTGAACCTTTAGGATTTGACAAGCTACATTAAGGTAGCTTTTATTTGTTATCAAGGATTATAATATTACTTCATTCACTCCCAAATATTTGTAGAAAGTGTAATCATACAGGCTGTTCTAGGCACTGGGTGAATTAGCCATAACCCCAAACTAACACATTTCTGTTCTTGTGAATATATTCTCATGGGCAGATGACTGTATAACAAGTACTGGTTAAGGTTGAGAAAACTGAGTAGTATACATCGATTAATGACAAGGAGTTTAGTCAAGAAATAGTAACACTTGAGCAAAGGCGTTGATAGACAGCCTCAGATCTGTTGCTGATCATTGGCTGATGTATATAATTACATATGAATTTATGCATATGCATATTTATGAGTATGTGTGGACCCATGAAGGCAAGTATATTGCTATGTAGGGCAAGGTTAAGGATTCCAAAGGCAGCCTTCTGGAGGTTTTTGTGCTTGGTCTAGGCTGTGTGCCCTCACAGTAGACTCTGAGGAGAGTGATGTGAAGAAAAGTTATTAGGGGTGCTCTTGTGATCAACTTCTGTAGGTGGAAAGGGAAGGAGGCAAATTTGGGTGGAAGGAGATGATGAGTCATGATGTGGTCCTTGGAAACCTTTCACATGTCTGTGTAGGATTCCTGAAGTACAATGTCTCTTCTATTCTGTCTTCTACTAAGATCATTGGGTGGGCCATTTTCATCAACATAGTACTTCATTGTTGGGTGTAGGCTGTCCCCAAAAGGGCCATACCCACTGAGCCAGGCAAGCTGTTTTAACAAGCGAATTCCCAGAAGGTCCCAATAATGGAGAACTGCCTGTTTCCAGCATGTCCTTCACTGGAACCTGAGGCCCCCACCCTAAAGGTGGCAGTACCTCCATAATCACCTTTTAAAAATCAGTGTTGGACTATAACAACCTCAAATATGGAATTTCCTCTCAGACAGTGCCAGTGCACTATGACAGATGGTCTCAGAGTTGTGACATGTTCAATTGTATTTGTCCTGAACTCCAGGGAGATGTTTGGTCATCATTCCTGATGTTACCCCGTGAAGAAAGGGATGAGAGAGAATTTTCTGCATTTAAGCCAGTCTCTCCTTTTGAAATGACCTTCTGTGTGGACTGGCTCAAATCCAGAAGGACACCTCAGCTGAACAGGAGACCATTCATTAGTGATGGAAAGTGGAACTGGGACACTTTTAAAAGCGGGATACCTAAACCCACCGGTATTTCGAGTCTACATACCCCATTCATCACAGCTTAATGTCACTGAGTCCCTAGTGCTATCAGATGCTGGGCCAGTCTGCCTTTCCATACTGCAGAACATTTATCACTATGTAGACTTCCTTTACGTTCCAAGAAACTCTGTCTCTAGTTTGATGCCCCTTCTCAGTCCCATCCCTAGCCACTCTGCTCTTTGTCACTGTATTGATGTTTTATGGCCTTTCACCTCCAGATACCTTCTGTTATCCAATCCTTTTATGTCCATGTCTCCCCTACACTTTTTGGTTCTCCCATTTTTCTCACTATCTCTTAAATATCTCTGCCATGTTTTTACTTTATACTCACTGTTCTCTCCTTCTCTCCACCCCTCTCTTCCTCCTCCACTTTTATTTGATGCTGTTTCAGCTGTGTTTTGGGGGTCCTTTGTTCCTCCTTTTGTGCCAGTGGAGTTAATTCACTTCCCTAGGAGATTTTCACTTGAGACAGGGCCAGATGCTGCCACTTTCCTGAGGTTTTAGCTGCTATGGAAACAGAAGATGGATCAAGGGGAGAGGAGCAGGCTGATCAGAATCTACCTGCAGATTAGAGTAATTTAGGTGAACCGCTTTGTCCAGATCTGGGGCCCAGATTAGCTGTCCCACTTTCGAACTGATGAGATATTCGGAGCTGTAGCTAATCACCTTGAGACTCACTGGGAACCAGTGTCCCCAGTGATGATTATTTGGAGATCAGAGATGTCATTGAGCTGTTGTAAAATCTGAGCTGAAGCTGGAGACCCTTAGAAGTCAGGCCTTCATCTGTACTCACTAAATGTTTCCAAGAAGGTGCTTATTTTAAATAAACCAAGACAGGCTTGGGGCTCCTGAGAGAATGATGTGCGCCTTTGCTGAGTCTCCAAAGGCAGTGAGCAGTTGTCATCATTTGTCCCAGTGGTAAAGACAGATCATGTCTCAGTCAAATTATTTTTACATAGACATGAAACTCTCCCCAAAGAACAGCTGATCCAGGCACTTGGGGCAACCTGATGACTTCATTGCATTTTCTCCTTCTAGACTGATCTTCTGGTTTTGTGCAATTTTGAAAATGCCTAGTTTTGTTTATCAGAAGCCATCCAGTGCAACTCACCTCTTTAGAATGACTACTTCCAAAAAATAAAAAATAAAAAATGAATGACTACTTCCAGCCAGAGAAATCTGTGTGGAAAGGAAATACACAAATGTGGACCATTCTTTCAGCAAGGCCTCGCCATGCTGATATAGTAGTGGATGTCTGGTGGATAAAAGGGTCAAGATGCCTGTCTAGGCCATTCATCAGGTAGAAGAAATGCCAGATGCCCACAGGCAGGATAGAAAGTAATAAGGGCTTCCCAAGCTGCCTTTTGGCAGGCCACATTTTGTGCAAAGTTGTTTTTCCTATGTTATTTATAGTGGCTTGCCTTTTCTATTTTCTTCTCATGACTTACCACTCTTGGAATTCAAGTGCACAGTTTTCTGGATACCTGTTCTTACTTGGCACATGTTTTCGGGAAATGCACTTATTGTGTATATTTGCGTGGGCCCTGATCTTCTCAGGAGGAAATGTTTCCATTTCCTGACCTCACAAGAAAGAGATGCAGCTAACTCCATACAAGCCCAAGCCAAAGTCCTTAGGAGGGTCAGTCTGTGCACATGCAGCATCAGGGAAACCAGGATCTCATCCATGGCTGCTCCCTACTCAGCAGTCTGGGTTTGTCCTTTGTCTTTACCTAGGCCTGAAAGAATGGACTTTAAAACTGCCCCATCCCTGAGTTTTCTCTAGTATTCAGAAATAGGTTCTCTTTCAATATATCCTGAAAATTCCCGAAGTAGGCCCACTCTTCACAGAAATGTGTTCTCACAGTCCCAGCACCAGATCTCATTGAGGTGTCATAGGGTAAGAGAATCATCTAGGATTCCTATACAGTCACATGCCTGGCAGCCTACCATAAACTCAGGTAAATATGTGAGTCCAACCAGGAATCTGTGAACATTTTACACCTTTGGAACCAAGAACTATTGAGCACCTGATAGAATGGTGCCTACTTTCACCAGCTTTCTTCCACTAAAACTCTTGGGTAGTTTGTTATATCCTCATCTAAGACACCCAAAGAGTATCCCCACACTAAGACAAAGACTTGAGATGAGACAAAGGCATTGGGGAAATCCATAGAGCAGAGATTTCCCACATCTGGTTCACTTGTATCATTTCCATCTCAAAAGTTCCTTGAGATCAGGGTCTGTGTGTGTCTCACTTCTTTTGCATCTTCACCATATGTACAGTGCCTGGGACCTATATGCAACTCAGAGTATACTGTTGGTTTGATGTATAGCACTACTGTTTTCCATTGCTCTAAAGGATCATGTCTCTTCTTCTAGTGCAATGCTCGAGGCTTACTCTTGAGAGGTTTTCTCCACTGTAATGTGTACAGTGGTGATCTGCCATCTTCCCCAGATAGAGCCATTGTTGAAGCTCCAGGACATTTTTGCTAGCCTTCCCCCACTCTCTCAGGCTTTCATGAAACCACTCCAAGGAACCAGCTGTATTGGGAGGTTCAACTTAGGCTGAAAGCAGAGGCCCTTCTTCAATCTCACTTTCACAGAAGTTGAGAAAGCTCATAGTGGCTTTGATGTTGGGATTTCTGATTCACTCTAAGGTCCTTCATGCCCATCACTCTGCTGAGATGTGTTTTTCTGAAACATGTTCTTCATCTTATCCTTGTGGGACAGCCTGAGCCTTCTACCAGGTACTGCTTTCAACCTTCTTGTATGTGGCTCCTAAGTAGTTTCCTAAAGTAAAAAGGACAGAGGAATATATATGAAAACGTGCTGGTCCTCTCAAATTGAGAAAAACAAAAGCAGTTAATTAGTGGGTAAAAGAAAATTATTATTTTAAATCCATCCCTCTTTCCTGTTCTTCCCATTCTCCATCTCCTTATTCTTGGTGTGTAAATAGAAGTAGGCAGGACAACCAACATTCATCTCAGGGTTACATAAAGATATGGGGGTAGAATGAGAGCAGAAGTATCTCCATTGAGTTTAAAATAAAGCAAGCCTCTTAATGCAACATATAGTGGATACCTCTACATGACTTCTGCATCTGAGTCAACCGCCTTTCCTGTAGTCATCCTTTCCTTCCTGTGCTCCAAGAACCCTAGTGGACTACTGGTAGTCCTTATTTCTCAAAAAAA